AAGGACATTGAGGGTCTGAAAGCAGAGAGATCTGGATTTGGTATTCCTTTGCTGGGTGATACAAGTGACCACTTTGGAGTTGTCAGAGTGTACCATAACTACCCTCCCTTACAGGAGAGAAAGGAAGTGGGACAAAGCTTGACAAACCACCATAAATTTGAGAATGCTGAAAATGGAGAGAAGACTCCTCGACCGACCAGAGATACAAAATCTCCTGAATGTCGAGGTAAGCACCTTACCCCTCTAAAGATGGGTTCATGAGCAGATGTAAATCTGGATGAGGTGGAGGAAGCAGAACCTTCACCATGGTCTGGTCTTTGTCTAGCCACCAGGCCAGGCTCGCCCTGATTGGGGAAGGAAGAGTAAAAAGGGTGGTCTAAAGGATCCAAGAAGTTCCACTGATCAAGGGGTGTCCACTGCAAGGAGCACATAGGAGCTCGACTCATGGGAATAAGAGCTTTCAAGGAAACTCAAATCCCTATAACAGAGCTGTGAGAAAATGTGAGGTGAGGGCCTTGTGGACTGCTTGCTCCATATCCCATAGACAAAGAGGAGAAGGTTGGGCCTGACTGAGGTTGGAATTGAAGAAAAAAACCCAAATGAACAAGGTCCTCATTCAACATCAATGATTATCTGCCAATATTTGTATTCACTTAGAAAAATAAGTTCAAATGTTGATAATCAAAGGTGCATTTTAAAGGTGTTTGAGGAACTATTAAACACTGTGAAGTTTTTATGATCATAACACATGTATACCCAGATTTTTGAAAACAAGTCAAATAAATAAAGATTTTTTTCGAGTTTACTGTTTGTTTCTAATCAACTACATTATGATACAAGGACCTGAAAAAATTTTTCATTGAATGATTAAAATCACTCATACTATTTTCAGGCGAGTAAAAATACACTTACCTGCTGATTTAAAATACAAAGGACTGCAAAAAAATAAATAAAAAATCACTGAAACAATTTAATGCAAACACAGTAAGAGAAAACTGTTGAAAAAAAAATTGAAGTGGCAAATAAGCAAAATCATAACTGATAGCAACAGGTGAAAATACATGTCTAAACGAAGCTGTTCCAATTGAGGAAGTGAGGATTGAACAAGAATAATAGAGGTAGCTAATTGCAATGATATAGGTGGTACAATACTATTATTGGAGAGTAGTTATATGATACTTACAAGTTCAATAATAGCATAAAATTGATGGGGTATATACACTGGTGTGCTGAGCATGAAAATGTTTAGCAATGCTTAGAATTCAGAAAGAAAATCGAGATAAATTTGTGTGAGACGAGGTTAGACCATATTGGAATTAATCATTCTACACCTCAAAAACTCCTCTTCTCAAGAGTAGTCCAACCCCAGAGAAATTAAAAAATAAAACCTAAATCATCTATAGTTCAATGCCTCTACGAAAGCACATGCATGTTTCTCATAGCACATGCTTCTTAAACTAGGTATTATTCTGTAGAATTGTGTGAAATTTACCAACATGTCAATGTTACTTTTATGAGAAGGCCAAAACTGAATATAGTATTCTAAATAAGGCCTCAACAGTCTTAAAAGTGGTAAACGAGTACTGGAATTTTTTAAAATCTTTTGATAGGGTGCTGCATGAAATGTTGGTGAAAAAAGAAAGTACCTCAGTCAGAGTATAGAATAAATTAGTTAAATGGATTTAAGTTTGGCTAAATGAAAGGAAGTAAAAATATTTTATTAATGGAATTCAGTCTAATCAGACTTAAAGTTACAAGAGGTGAGCCTCAGGCATCTGTGCTGCGACCACTGGTATCCTGCACTTACCTTAGTGACACTGATGAAGGCATCATCACGAAATTAGTTAAATTTGCTAATAATATAAAAATCTTAGATCTGGCTGATTGTCACAAAGCTGATATGATTTTACAGATTTAAACTGATAGTTTAGTTCATCAAATACATGACTGATCATTATTATAATAACTGAAGGTTATGCATATGAGTAACAATATAAATTGCACATGCAAGTTCGATGGGTACCCTTGGTTAGGCCTTATTTGGAGTACCCTGTACAGTTCTGGTGCCATTTTAGAAAGTAAACTGAGCTGTTGAACATAATTCAGAGGGTGACTACTAGGATGAGTTGGGGATGGATGGGTTGTCATACGAAGATAGAATCAGATCTCTCACCTATTGAAAAGGGAATGGTCAGAGTTGATCTAATTTTTTTAAGTATTCAAAATTATTAAAAGAACTGACAAGAGTGTTCCATCAATTTTTGTGTGTGTTGAATTCTGAGAGTAGCAAAACAAGAGTTTAGAATTTAAGATTTGGGAAGATCAAACATTTTTAGTTGAAGTAGTTTTCTTTCTCAAATAGGGTGGTAAGTCTGTGGAATGGAACAATTTACCATTACAATGATAGAAAATGGAACTTTACAGGAATTCAAGAAAAGAGTTGATTAAAATTGGGGAGATTTGGACTAGATTTATTGGCAGTTTTGTGAAAGAGTTTGGAACTCAGGACATCACTGATTAGTCAAAAGTCCCCTTGATATATATTGTATAATTTATATAATTTAAAATACCCTTCACCTTCTTAAATTCCCAATTTCTAGAGATCTTAGGCCTTTTCATCACAGCTACATACTCAGCTGAAGGTTTCAACCTTTTTATGAAATTCACACCCACATTTTTTTTACCATCACCAATGCTCCTGCAATACATTTCTATACGTTAAACCACACAATATACCCATTCACTATACATGTCTATGTCCTTGCAAATCACAAACTTTTCAAACAGTATTCCTTGTCATATCTTTATAAGCCAATCCAAACAACTTTCTAAGAAACAAATCATCACTGTACATAATGAGCAACATAACACTATCTCAAAGTAGTTTTCAGGAATGCCAATACTCGCACTCTCACTAAATATCAACTCATTACCACTGTGCTTTCTACCAACATTTAAATTCTCTTTTGTTTTTCTATCTTCATCAAATATATAAAAACATTCTAATTATTGTCCGGTACCTTATGCCAGATTTTCTCAAAGTTAAAACACATAATTACCAAAATACTCTAGCCAAGAATTTGGAAATCTTATCAATCACCCCCATGAAGGTTACTCCTATATACCCCAAACCTGACCAACCAAAGCAAGTATTAACATTTACATCCACATACTATTCCAACAAAAGTTGAAAAGTAACTAGACCAACTGGACAAACTACATCATCACACATTCAGACAAGGTGACAGATTTCAAACAACCAGTACACATCATATCAACTGGCAAACCATTTTACAAGTTCTTAATAGTGGTAAAAGTCTGCCTACCAACTAGAATGGACCTAAGCATTCACTACTCATGCATTGTACTTCTCTTTTAATAGTCAGGATTTCATCCTTATCTTTCCACTATCCAACATGTCTCCCATGGTTAGTTTATATAAATCACTAATAATGTTTCATTCAAAAATCAGATATTCAGTTCCACACTCCAGAGAAAGCATGTTTAAATCTACTTGAAAGCTTCCATACTTCTAAATTCAAGTCTTCATTAAGTAAATCCCAGAACACTATTCACTCTTTTTTGCCACTTCCAAACATTCAGCCCAAGGTTTGTGGCTTTTATCAATCATCTCACTCAAATTCTTCTCATGCTCTACAACATTAATATTTCTTCCACACAAAAAAATTTAATAAAATGTTTTTAAAGTTCCATATTATAAATGCAACACTTTAGATTTATCAGTGTTGAAACTCATTTTCTGACAGATTGGTCGACTCAGAAAAAACTATCAGTCTTTCTGCATAGGAAATTTGTTTTCAAAATAATCAATGTTAGCACGCAGTTTGGTATCAAAAATTCAAAAACCATACTGCTTATAGCATAAAATACAGAAAAAAACAACTGTTTGTTCCTTCAAAGTTGTTCTTGCACATCCAACCTTGAAGTAAAGATTTAAACCAATTCTTTACTTTCCAAGAAATCATTGATTCTAAACTTTAATTCCTATAAACGTTGACCTCTACTGCTGCTGATAGCAAATCATTCTATAAGGCAATCACTATGTTAGAAAAAATAACTTAATCTTAAACTTGTCTTCTCATCCTATTATCTTCAGAAAACAGAATAAAGAAATCAGAGGCTTTTATTCTACTGTTTCCCTGAATAATCTAAATAAGATCACCTCTTATTCTTCATTTCTCAAGGGAAAATAAGGTACAAGATCTTAACCTATCCCTGCAAGATAACCCTTTTATCCCAGGAATTTTCTTAAATCTTTCCAATAAGTCAATTTCCCTTGTCAGATAAGGAGACAAAACTATACATATGTATAACTATTTCAAGTGAAACCTTAACTAGTAATTTGTATAGAGATAAATGCCTCTTTTAATTTGTAATCAACATGTCTATAAATATACCTAAAATTCTGTTAGTTTTACTACTAGTAACAAAGTACTGGTTTGATTGCTTGAAAAACTCATCCATCACTATACGTAGATCTTTTTCTTTAAGCATATTGTTAAGTGGGTTTCCAACATATTAAATCTGTGATCCAAAATATAACAAAAATGAATTACCTTGCACTCAGTATTACAGGTCATTTGTGAAATACTTGTCTAACCAGGGCACACTGCTATACCTTAATGTCTTCAATATATATAGAAATACCCAAGAATTTAACATTATCAGCAAACTCTACTAATTTATTAATTATGCCCCAATCAGTATCCTCAATGGAAATAAAGGTCCTATTTGACTGTACTCCATTAAAAACAACTTTTTGCTTTCTCCCATCCACTTAACTACTCTTTTGCAAACCATTAGCATTCCACATTGTTAGATTTTCATGGACAGTTTTGATATTATTTTTAAAACTTTTATTTATTACTTCGTATCTTTTTTAAACACTAGTTTTTGGTTGTGCTAAGGGAAAACTATTGCTACAAATTCAAAACAATTTAGACAGTAATGTGTTTCAAATTGTCACAGATGTCACTTGCCTCTGATGCTAGATAGCAGGGATGGTTGAGTTTTCTCATCAGAAAACATGCTAGAAAATTGGAGAAAAAACAGATTTGTTAAGCTCAGTTTACTTTTTCCTAATAATTTACTTTGACAGTATTTCAAGATAACAGTTAGTGTTTCTGTGTTCCCTTAGTAAAATATACTATATTATTCATTTAATGTATTGGTTATACTATTTAGTATATCAAATGTTATCATTTTTTATTTTTCATTTATTTATATATTTAAGAAAAAACTGTTTTGTATTGTTAGTTTAATATATATACTTAGAACTTACCTAAATTCCCTAAGCTGGCCAAAGCTTGTGAGATATTATTGGGATTATGACTGAAATATCATTAAGGTATACAATGCTAAAAATTACATTCTAAGATATAAGAAAAGTATATTTAATTAGTTATAACAATTGCCAGACTAAATTTTAGTTTCACTTTATATATACATCTTGCTCTGATTGGAGATTATTATTGATCATATTGCATGAAATTATTTTGTAAACTGTAGTAGTATGCCTAATTGGCAAAAAAAATTCCAAGGCAACAATTATCAACCATTTTAGAAATGATGGTAACATAAGCAGCTCTCCAATCCTCAGATGCATGCCCATTTCTTATTGACCTAGCAAAAATAAGAGAGACTACATATTTGATCTCTAACCTCTTTTCAGCCCATAATTGTTTGTCTATTTTAATTCTCAGCCTTTCTACTTATCACCAATGAATTGATAATTACATAATAAAATATTGACCATTTCTTCCTGGATGTGATTCAGTGGATGTCTAATTAACCAATTTAACAACATGTTGTCAAGTTTTAGATCTCGAAGCTAGATCTAGTATTTCTCAACTATACTTTCATCAAGTTCCATGCATTCAGTGTTGCCAACCAATGACACAAAACATAAAAGTGGTTCCTCTACCCATTAATAAATGCATATATCGCATCCTTATATGCTTAAAGCATTTATTATAAAACAGTAGAATGGATACAATACTACAAATTACTGTAACAAATATCTCTATAAACATTTACATCAGTCTTTAAACTATTTATGCAAGACTGAAAATCTTGCACTTTTAAACTATCTATAATTAAGTACTCCACCATATAGAAGATTAATTTATAAAAATGTCTCTTCCTACTAAATTTTTCACTGCTCAAGGCAGAACAGATGAGCCGAGAATAAATTTCAAACACTCAGCTTAGGTGATACATTATAGAAAAATACTTTTCAAAATTGGTTCCCTTATCATTAATAAATGCCTATACCATAGCCTCATGACCAATAATCATTTATTATAAAACAACAGAATGGATACAATCCCATAAATTATAGACTCACAAGGTAAAAATATCTCACTAAACGTTTCTCTCAGCCATTAAGCTATTTATGAAAGTCTGAAAATCTTACATTTTAAAACCATCTATATTTAAGTACTCCGCCATATTGAAGACTATTTTTAAAAAATGCCTCCTACAAAATTTTCACTGCTCTTGGCAGAACAAATGAGCTCCAAATTTTAACACTGAGCTTAGGTGGTGCTTACCACAGTAAAGTGAGCTGCACATTAAAAAAGTCAAAGTTTCAAGAGCTTTGAAGATTTCTTTTACAGTAGAATTTCCTACTGGAAAAAGGAACGGGCAGTTTTAAAATTTTATAGAAAAATATAGAAATAGGTTACATGGTGCAAGTTGTTTGGCAAAATCGAATGTGTGGCTAGGTCTCTTAAACTCTCCTCTCCATTGTATAGAAGAGGAAAAAAGCACTGTTTTCTAAAGGTTTGTTCAAGTTGATTTGCGGCTGAGTCTATAACTTAGCTTTGCCTAATACAATATATTTTAATATTTCATCAACAATATTTCAGTGGTGCTTCTACACCATCATATAAGAATTGGAGTGATTCCTTACCCACAGGAAGCCACGGAATCTAAAAGAAGACCCATCTCCATCGTAAAGAAGAGACAAAAACATGATGGTTTTCTCAAAAGTTTCTTCAAGTTCAATGTGCAGCAGAGTATACCTGCCTTACAGAATGTCTTTTATAAATTCAATAACAATATTTTGGTGTCTCCTCTACACCATTATTTAAAAATTGTTGTGATCCCATACCCAAAAAGGATTCCCGACCCTCTAACAATCAAGTAGTATGAATATTGTCCTTTACAAAATTTCCTCTCTTTCAAAATGTGTGACTGGGTATTTAGCCACATAGAAAATATTTCAAGCTTTCAAGATTTCTTGTTCAGACATATTCCTAATTTGCAAATGAAATTTGACTTGATACCAACACCTTACATGGATCTAGAGAATTCTCAAAATCCCCTACCCTTTACAATATGAAATGAAGAGAAATTTGACATTTTCCAAAAACTGTTTTCTAGACAATGTGCAACTGGTTATATTTAATTTCTTGTATATCACCTACTAGTTGGTTTCACTCACATAACTAACCATCACACTCTAACATGGCAAACCAAGGCACCCATAAACTACAACTTTTAAGTGCATTCATGTACCGCAGTCACGAGGTACATGGAATACAACTTTAATCATTAACTTTAATTTACTACGATTATGTGAAAGTGCAGCTCATTTGCCTCTAGTGTGATGCCTGCTGGTGAAATTCCCACGAGGGCACTCATGGTCAGGAAACAGGTATTATTAAGTGTGTGCAAAACTTTAACCTTTGGAAGGTCACTTCAAGTTTAATCATTTCTAAACTAAGTGGACCCTCCAGGGAATTTCACAATCAGATATCATATCATCTAAGCTGTGTGAGCAAATTTCTTATTAGAAGATCCTGTAGAACTGAAGAAATTATGTACTAATAGTAATACAAATTACTATTAGTATTAGTACTATTACTAATACTACTAGTAGAAGTTTTTTTTAGTTGTTAATTTATGCTGTCCAAACTTTTATGTATCCAGCTTACGAGACATACAATAAACACTTAAAACAGTAAAGATGGGATGTTTTACTCATTATTTGCAACACTAACACTAGTTGTATAATTCTCTATAACTATAAGTATAACTTAAGCAAATAAATACTTTATACAACAGTTACCAAGTTAGGCCTACAAGTACAGCATGTGACTGACGTGAAAGCGAGTGCTAAAAGTAAAACGAACAATGTTGGCTAACATTTACAACTTACTCATAGTTATAACTTATAAATACTACTAGTACTTCATTATAAGTTCATATAATTTATATAACTAATAAAGTACAATTGCACATCATGTCAGAATAAGACGAAATCATATTATAATTTATAATGAAATATATATATATAACTCTTAGCTTTCAGATGCTACTTTTAAATTTAATATTTTCCAAAAATAAAGCTAAATTGAAATATATGTATCTATAGTATAGTAGAACTACTAGTGCTATTAAGTATTATGAAATTTCTCACTTACTTTTAATTGTAATGATATTTCTTTCCCGTCTCTAATCGCCTTATAAACACAACAGATCGCGGGCGAAACACATATATTTATCAACTCTCAGTGTATTAGTACAAGATTGCTCCTGGAAATTAAATTGTATGAAAATCAGAACATTGTGTTTATATTACAACACTGATAGAGCAATATCAAACACAGCAAACTACATGGTTGAAGAATTACAAACCACTCTAATTTTTTTTATATAAAAATCAGTATTATTAACATAACAAAATATTAAAAGACAGCAATGAACTTTTTGGTCCATCTAAATTATCATATCCAATAAAATGAACAAAATCCTTAAAAAACAAAAAACCCTCAAAGCACTATTCATACAAATATTTATCAACTTTTCCCTTAAATTAACTGCATCTACCACATCCGAAAGCAACTCGTTACGACCATCCTGTTACGAAAATAAAGCTGACTCCTATCCTGCCAAAATTTATACATGCGTCCTCTAGTCTTACCATCTTCACTATCAAAGATGATGCATCAACACTATCAATTCTCTTAACAATCTTAAACACTTCAATTAGATTACCTCTAACTCTTATTTTTCAAAATAAAACAAGTTAAGAGATATTAATTTATCCTCATATGATAACATTTCCATCTCAGGTATCATCCTAGTAGCCCTCCTATGAACCCTTTCCAACAATTCAAGTCTTTTTCCACTTTGTATTGTGTTCGACTTTCTCTCGAGCACTGTCCCAAAGTTTCTGCAGTGAAGAATCTTTCTTCTGTACTTTCTTCAGTTCCCGTAGACCTGGCCTGACCAAGTGGTTAGGGTGTTCAACTTGTAATCTGCGGGTCGCGGGTTCGAATCCTTATCCCCCCAAGCATGCTCGGCTCGCCCTTTCAGTCGTGGAGGCGTTATAATGTGACGGTCTATCCCCTATTCGTTAGTAAAATAGTAGCCCAAGAATTGGCAGTGAGTGATGATGATTAGCTGCCTTCCCTTTAGTCTTACACTGCTAAATTAGGGATGGCTAGCACAGAAATTCAAAAACAAACCCGTAGACCTACATTCTGGATGCCAATTTTTGATACTTGCAAAGACTTGATGATTTGTTTGCTCTTTTTCTATTAAGCTCTTGTAGTAACTGCATAGGCCTCATCAGCCTTTGTTCTGTCTAATTCTTCTAAATTGCTACTACTTTCCAATCACTAAGTCGTATATTAGTGCCTTCATACACATGGATTCAAGGTCTACTACATAATATGGAGTATCCACCTTTATTTCTGCTATGGGAAACATTCCCACTATCCCATCAATTTGCACACACAGGCACACCTTGCCTGTCATCTGGTCATCAAGTACCAGACAGGTTATCCCTGCTGCACTAGTGCATCCAGCGTCACGTAGGACTTTCACTTTCTTGTCCCCGACACAGCCTTCACCTATTGACATATTGTTATTTGTTGGCACCTCTTGATAGATATCTGTAACATGCTCCAATCACTGTTGGCACTGTTGATCCATTTTCTAACTTCAGCTGACCATTAGTCATACACTGAGCAATCATAGAAATGGCACCTCCTTATTGTGGTGAGTCTGCCATCTTTTCTTGATTTTGATTTTTCTGGCAGCTGCATCCATGGTGAGAGCTACTATGTTTTTGTTTCTTACCAGCACTATCTTTGTAAGTTGCTCCAGCTGCTTTATGTTGAAATTTCTGCTGTTGCTTGTTGTTGATGGACTTGCAATCGTTTGTAATGTGCCCTATTTTGTAACAAATATGCCATTTCTTCTCCCATTTACCTGTTAACCTCCTGTCACCTTTGGTAGACTCCTGCTCCTAGTCAGCCACCATTGGTTTCGACTTTAACTGGATATTCTTGGACTTGCCCATTATACTCCCTTCATGGGTTTCCATATACTGTTTTGCTACCTTGATCACATACTTCACACCTTTTGGTGCTCTTTCCTTCAGGAACAGTGTCATGTCAGTTGAGCATGCGATCATGAACTGTTCACTTTTTAGTAGATCTGCCAGTCCCTTGAAACTACTGTCACACTTGTCCATGTCAGTCCATCTTGTGAAGTATCGCCGTAGGAGTGCCACAAACTTAAATACAGTTTCTCTAGTTTTAGGTGTGACTTCTCTGAACTTTCGATGAAAACCTTCCTCAATACGTTCATAGCATTTCAGCAAGGCCACTTTTAACTTGTCATAGTCCATGGCATCTTCTGATATCATGCCTGTATATTGTTACGTCTCCGTTTGTTAATTAACTTCCCGTAACTTCGTTCCGACGAAACTTTAGCGACACAAGTCCTTACTTAATAAAACTGGTTTATTCTTTCCGAATATAACTTTACGATACACTTGTTTTCAACAATCGCGCTAAAACAAACGCTATATCAACGAACGTTAACTTCAACAATATGTCTTTCTCTGACTGCAGTTCAGTTACTCATTATCTACACACACACACACACA